AAAGAGCCATTCAAACAAAATATATTTCAATACAAAAAATATGAAGGTTCACAAATAGGAACAAGAAATGCAGGCCATCAAAACAGAACTATCATGAAAAGCAGTGACTAAAAAGGATTTAGTGATTTTTGTGGATAAGCACCAGAACTGCACTCCCAGTGCAATGTAGTGGCAAAAAGAGATAATTGATCCTTAGACACAAACAGGGAAGTAGTGAATAGAAATAAGATTTTACTTCTGTATACAGGATTAGTGAGATGACACTAGAAAACTATGTACACACTTCTGGTTTTATATATGTTGCAAAATTGAAAAGGATACAGAAAATGATTCAAGGATTGGAGAGTTGCCTTACAATGATAGACATAAGATACTCAAGCTGTTTAGCTATCAAAAAGGAAAGGTGACTTGATTACAGCATTTAAGTACCTTCACAGGGAGAAAATACTGGATTCTAAAGGGCTCTTTAATGTAACAAAAAAAAAAAAAAGCATAACAAGAATCTATAACTGAAAGCTGAAGCCAGAAACATTCTAATTAGAAATTAGGCACAGATTTTAAACAATTTGGCTGATTAATTATTAGAATAAACTAACAAATGCTAATTCTCTGCTTTTTGAGGTCTTCAAATCAAGACTGGATGCCTTTCAGGAAGAAGGTACTAGTCCCCATTCAGGTATAACGGGGTGGGGGATGGAAAGAATGACCTGTAATGTACATAAACTCATTAGATCCCCTTTTTGTCTTTTTTTTTTTTAAAGAAATTATTCTGAATTTAAAAAACCATCAGGGAGTATGCTTGTGTGTGCAGGAAGTTCTCTATAATCCAGTGGTTCCCAAACTTTTTGGCATCATGCCCCACTTTTTGAAAAACCCTCATGCCCCTCCTCCCCCCCCCAAAATAGCAGCAAAACTTGTTGAGCAAACACACACACACACACACACACACACACACACACACAGAGTCTTTCTGCTTCTCAGCCGAGGGTCATGTTAGTGAGGATTTGTTTATTTTGTTCCTCTCTTGTGTGTGGCTCCTGATGGATTTTTCTGTGGGTTAGTGGCCCCCAACCCAAAAAAGTTTCCCCACCCCTACTTTATGGTAAAAAAAATTGAAGAGTTAAAGGAGGTTGTAGCCTGTACCAATGCCACTGTTCTTGAAAGTGCAATAAAAAAAAGATGGAGTAGGGTAGGAATCTTGTAAACGTATATCTTCAGTGAAGACAAACTAAAGGGTATACAAATTTTCATTTTTTAAAAAAAATACTAGCTGCAATATTAATTGTATTTTTGGACAGTAAATCTCAAATCATTCCTCAAAATATAAGCATAAAGATTAATATCTGAGCTAACAGAGGCAGAATAAAGGGCATGATTTTACATTATGCAACAAGATAGAGAAAAATCGTTCTGCAAGCTACAGTAACACAAATAATGAAATAACTTATTTGAGCAAGTAAAAAGTGTCAGTTTCCTTTCTGCTTGATAAAACTAAGAATTACTAGGAGTGAACTAGGGGAAGGCAAAGCTAATGAGGAAGATGATGGGCTAACACCTAAGATCGTTCTAAAAGGAATGATGTAAGTATATGGCATGGAAATATGGATAATTGGGGTGTTCGTCTCTGTGCTAAGTGAATTAATAAACTATATTTGTAAATATGCAAGAGTTCAACTGGACACATCAGGGTTCCCAAGCATGCAATAATTAAATACTGAGCCTTATCCTGGACAAATGACCTGTCAACCCTAAAGGTGGTAATTAGAAATTGACACGTAATCTTAGATCAGGCAACACTTTTGAAATTTCCACTGCCAAGTTGTAACAATTTTAATGACAATGAGTTTTCATTTCTTTTTGCAGATGGTGCCTCCAGGTATGTGTCTAATTTACTGTTACCTAAGGGTTTCCAGAACTCAAAGAAGTGATAACAGCTGTTTCACTGCAGAGAGTGGTCAGGAATAAATCAACAGGAACACAGCATTTCCAGCTGCTGAAAAATTGATTCAAGTAAGGGTGCTCTTTATCCACAGATATAAGACTTAAGAAAACCCAGACAAGGAATAGGTTTAGAAAATCCCAAATAATTATATAGAATCTGAGGAGTTAGATTCTATACCTTTGAAGCAGTTCTGTGATAGCTGGTTGCATCCTCTCCAGGGAGTATGATGTCAAAGTCTCTCTGGACAGGTTCAGAAAACACAAAGCTCATAGTGACCGCCTACTAGGTCATCCATTCTCCTAACTTTAAACAAACTGCTTAACAAAACTTTAATACTTAGTCATAATAGGCTTCCATATAAATAGCATCCTAACTAAAGGTCCCCATCCACTTTGTTTACGTCTCATCTCCACCCATTTTGATTAGCCAAAAAATGCAAGCCTGCAGCTAGTTTTGACTCTTACCTCCAGAAGCCCTGCTTGTTCAAATTAAGCCTTAACTATATGGTGTTCTACATTTCATGGCACCTCAATGTACACATTATGGTTGCAATTAGGCTGATCAAGTTCTGGGTAACAAAGCCACTCCATTCTAGAGCAACAGTGCACACTACCTAACCCCAGGTACCACCTGTGCACCTCTTGACATGTAAGTTGTTCACTCTGCTTCAAATAGTGGTATTCTACTATGGTTCTAACTTTTAACAAGGTACTGGAATCTGAGATTGTATTTGTACTTTCACCCTAGTGGTCTAGAAGAGACAAATACTGAGTTGAAAAGACCTGCTTGAATGACCCCTTTCAATCTTTATAAATCAAACACTGAAAATACAGCATCCACTGGAAGCCAACTTTTGTCAGAGTATCGCATCAACTGAGACAGGTGAAGAGTTTATCTACATGGTGCGATGGCAGTGAGTTGCTCACATTAGTTTGCCTTCTACATGTAATCTCAGAACACTCTGTATGTACTTTAGAGACTGTTTTAGTAGCATTCCTGTCATAACAGGATCAATTAAAAAGAGACATTATGTAGGTGTATCAAACCTGACAACTAAAAGTGGGAGAAAAGTCTGCCTCTGCTGCACTTAAGAACAAAAGCAAATACATAACAATAGCAAGCAACAAAGCTTCAAGAAGTCTCTCGATGACAAATAAAACAAGTAAGTTCCCATAGTTCATATTTGAAAAAAAAATGCAAGAATAAGAATGCTGCATGGATAGTACTTTTAAAGACATGGGTGGGCAATTCCAGCCCATAGGCCAGATCTGGTATGCGGTATTAGTCCTGGCAGGCCCCTGCCTTCATAGGCATCAGAGGATCGCAACTCTTGTTGACCACAAATTGTCATTAGCGGCCAATGAGAGTGGCAGGAAGCATCCTGGTCCATGACGCTTCCTGCTGCAATCCTCCGATACCTGTGGAGGCACAGACAAACATAGCGGCAGTGGCCCACCAAGGATTAACCCTGCAGGCTGCCATTTTCTTTATTGCTCATCCCTTTTCAAAGATCTGATTTAAGAGGTAAGTGTTTTCCTGCAACAGCTCAGATACTCACTAGTACTCACTAACACACAGCACAATCATCTGTACCAATGAATATATCACCCGAGTTAAGGTTTTAGCAGGTAAGTAACTGATTTTCCCAAATATTTTGTCTTGTAATGATTTATAAACTTAAAGTCCATGCATATTTTATGGAACAATAGTATAGCTTACCTTAAAATAATTTGATCTAGCAAAATAAGAACTATGTTTAGATAAATACTCCTCTTAAAATATAGCTATTACTATCCACAGCATTTTACATATAATTGTTAATACCATTCCCTTGTTTGCAGGTAAGGTAACCATGACCAATATAGTTTCCCTTCATCCTACTGCCATTTGAAATTGGAGATTGACAGTCCCCACTTTTTGGGTTAGAATGCATGGTAAGTTAACTAACAGTGAGCAAAACCATGGGTCTGCAGATTGCCCACATTAAGGACTTCCTCAATAACCTACATGAAGAAACACAAATTACCAGGGTCATCTGAATTTCCTTTGCTTTACTACTGAGAAACCAAAAGTTGCTTTAAAGTTATTGACAAACCTGACAATAAAACTGGAGCTATAACATCAATTAAATTTTTACCAAATTGTTGCTATCCTTCAAAGGTGAAGGCACCCTATCGACTAATCAAATAGTCGATGCATTTTTGCATCGACTATTCGATTAGCCTATTACCTGATACTTAATATCCTTAAGATGCACCAATTCAACATATGCAAATCCACGTCAGAGCCAGGAGTACAATCCAGGTTTCCTGACTCCCAGACCAGTGTCCTACCCACTGAAGATCATGTGCCTGCCTTTTTAATAGGGACGTGAAAGTTTAACCATGTCAATGGTTAACCAATAACCCTGGACTCATTGGTTAACATTCATGGTTACACACAGGCTCCTAGTACGTACAGGAAGCCGGCTTAAAAGCCAGCTCCAGGCATTCAGCAGCTTCTGGGGAGCTGCCTCTTGCTGCTTCTAATACAGGGCAGCAATGCGGGGTGGCAGGCAGGAGCCGATACATGTGGGGAGCACCGGCTTTTCAGCCAGCTCCCTGCACGTACCAACTCCTGGGGATCCGACTGCCAACCCACATGTAACTGCTGCATTTTTCAGCAGTTACACCATTACTTACATTCATTTTAACATCCGTACCTATTAATACACATTAAAATATTTTTACATGGAAATATCACCATTTTAAAAGGTTTTAATTCAGAGCTAGTGAAAACGTGCTCTCAAATGAGTTTTGGTACAACCTTCAAAACCTTAAAAGAGTCTTAGGTTAGATCAGTGGTCCCCCACCTTTTGGGGCTGCTGGGTGCCGGGGGGCATGGCTGCCCATGCGCCACATGCCCGGGGCAGGGCTGACCCAGATCATTCAGCGGGCGCACATAAATGCCCCAGCGGGCGCCATAGCACCCAGGGGCACCGCGTTGGGGCCACTGGGTTACATTATACATTGAATCAGGCAGAATTAATAAAATAATAGTGCAAGATTACAATACTGACAGGGATGAGGAACTTCTTGATTTCTTCCAAAGCATGTCCCATTCTGGCATACGCCTCCGCTGGTGGGGCAAACACTTCAATTAGAACATGCAAGTCGTCATTTAAGTGGAAGTATTTTGCTTCCCCACTTTTTCTCAACTCTTCTTCCTGGGAGGAACAGAACATTTCACTATTAATCACACACAAAAATAAAACCCTCAGTAAATTTGTTACGGATGTTGGCCATATACAGTTCATTCACTTTTTGATCCAAATACTAGATTGGATCCATAACTAGAAATTATAAATCCATATTATCTACTGTACTGAAAGACAATGAAAATTTATAATATTGCTATTTTGTCTATCAAAGCATTTTTATGAACCACATACTACTCAAGATAACAACTGTTTCCTTCTGCCAGAGTTGTTTTGACTTGAGTGAAATAAACTTGCAGTATTTGTGAGCAACATGAAAAGATATTCTATTTATTTTTTCAACATTGTTTTTTTTTTCCTCTCTCTCTCATTACTCCAACTTTCTCTAGCAAGTTTGGAAATGAGAGTGCATACTCTTTAAGTGATGAGAATGCTGCATGCTCCGATTCCTGAAAACAATTTTCTAGAAAAATTTAGGCATGAAATACATCAATTTTAAAAACATAAACTACGCATTGAACTTGTTTTGGTGACTTTTTAACAAGCAAACAGAGGTGTATTTTATAATTCCAACACAAAACACTGTTAAAATGGTTTCACTGCGCTATTAGACAGGCAGTAGAACATTCTGCTCATTTAAGAACTCAATGAAATTTGAAAATTTTACTGTCAGACATTTGAGGCACTAAAAATATGCCATTCCTGACATTTATTCTATTTAACAAGCACTGAATCGTGCTCTATCTTCAAACATCTCTTTAAAACTACTATCTGTGGATCAATTTAATGACAGATTAAAGCTTTGCTATTTGTTCCTTCTGTGTCGTAATTATGAGTTAAAGTTTTGACAATCAATTCTAACTTATTGTAGGTAATTTGTTATCAAATTTACACAATATATGAATATTGCAAAAATGGTTGGAAAAGCAAAGCAATCTGATTAGTTGATAGAGCGTTCAGAGAAGGAAAATTAACACATCATAATTAGTTGGCTGAATCTTGTCAGCCTTAGCCATCATCTTGTCAATATAAATGATGAAAGAGCCACAAAAATAGAAAGTAAAACCTCCCTCGATTAATGTAAAATTCTAGCTATTTTCCCATATTGATTTAGTTTTAAGAAGCCAAATGCTATATGCCTAAATGCATAAAGGAATTTTTTTAAATGGATCCACAAAACTAGCTGAACAAATCAGACTTCTCAAAATGTTAATGAAAATTTCTGTTTAAGGGTATTGCGGCCTGTAAAGGGTATAGGTGAGAGTAGGATGAATTAATTTAAAAATTGAGAAATTTAAACTGAATATCACAAACTTAACTGAGAATGAAAAGATTGTATAATATTCTCCCTAAGGAAACAGCAGAAGTTCTTGAATAATTTAAGAGTGAACACATTACTGGAAAACATATGATAGTGAATAATCCTGCATGACGCTACATGACTTAATAGAAGGAAGAGATGATAAAATATATGGGATTATTTAGGTGGCAGCAGGTTTAAAGTACAAAAGAGATTTAATCAGACTAATTTTAAAAATGCTGTCAAGTAGATTTAAATGAAGTCTGTTTAAGATTACAGCAAGCTTTTTTGATCATACAGACGGGCTCATATTCTAAAAATTTCAGCCGTGGGAAATTTGTTGGCTAAAAGATTCAAAAATATAATTTGAGCAGATAACACCAAGGGTGCACAGAAGCTGGATGTATTAGACCTTTCATGGGTTTGGGGGAGCTGCTTTAGACTCTTGAAATAAAATTGCACTTAGATTGCTCACATAGGACTATAACCACCAAGGGTATGTCTAGACTGTATTCCTGTCAGCAATGTCGACCTGCCTAATCTGCATCTCTGCCGGCAGAGGGATGCAGTCTAGACATACCCCCACTGATAAATGCTTTCCTTGCAAACAATGTAATTTACATTTTAAAATGATACCTAGGAAAAATCTCTATAAAAAAGAAAATTCCTGTGGGACAACAGAGTGACATCACCACATCACTGCATCCTACAACCCCTCCACCCTCAGCTGCGTGGCCT